CCTCCATGTACATACTTACAGGGACTCTGCTAGCAAATGATCCCCTTAGTTATATTTAGTGGTTTTTACTTTCATGCACCATCTGACTGTAAATACCATTTAGAAATTCATATCTGTGCTTTCCTAAGGTGTTTTTATTCTTATTTTTGCAGATACAGTATATACAAATATACCTCCATTGCCCTGGTGTCTGTGGGGATATTTATTTGCACTTTCATGTCAGCAAAGCAGGTGGTAAGAATCAGCTCACAAATCATTTATATTCACTACTTGCCATTGGGGCCCAATTACCAGGCAATTACTACTAATAAAATAAATTAAAATGCATATGTAACACAAGGATTCAAGTCTCTGAAAGAGAAGAGTGGGGGAAATGGATAACATAAATGTTTCCCTTGTATCTCGGCACTTTGCATGTAGTTCTGGTCCCTGTACCTAGTGTATTTTCTTATTTCATAGACTTCCCAGTCCAGCTTGAGCAAGAATGATGGATTCCAGGCATTTGCATGGTGGTTACTAGGCAAGTACAGTAATTACAATAAAGCTAATTGCCTCTGCAGTCGTGTTCGCTGAGTTTTCTCCTAAGGGACATATTTCTCGGCAAGAAGCTTCAGCTAAACGAATTATGCCATGGAAGAGAAGGGCACCTGGGATCATATATCTCTGAACTTTAGTGTCCAAGAAATGATAAAAAGAAAAGGTCCTTGTTTGTGTTGGCATGAACATGGCAGTATGTTCTACAATCTGGATCCATGTTTTCTTGGTTGCCACTGGTATAGAGAGACAAGTGTGTGTCTGTTTGCCCATCGCACTCTGAGAGCAGTGCCTGGAGTGCCATTCATTTCTGCATGATCTGTCTACTAGTTGAAGCTTCTGTAAAAGAAGGGCACATTAGAGCAATCGACTCATTTTCAAGGGACCCATTTCTACATCTTAGGTTTATTTTCTTCATAGGTTAGCTGTTCCACATGGCAGTGTTCCCAAACCTGACTGATCATCACAATCTCCTGGGGAACTTTTAAAAATACAAATGTCTTTTTGTGGAATTAATTAGACAACCCCTGTAGAGCTTTGTTCTCACGTTGTCTGATATGGAGGTGAAACTCTTTCCAGGTGCTTTCAGTGATAACAACAGATTGAGATGGACGAAGTGGAAGAGAAATAGCAATGAAAGACCTATGTTTTCCTGGCTTCTTGGCTTTGAACTTTGTCCCTTTAGATTGCTGTTCTTAACATAAAAAGATCTTTATGAGCTATTAGAAAAATACTTTATCCAATGAGCAAAATTTGCGAAGGACATGAACATACAATTCATGGGAAAAATTAACATCCAATAATTTTATGTTCAGCTTCACTATTCTAGTAATCAAAGAAATGCAAATAGTAACCAAAATGTAATACTTTGTTATTTTTGGCCTATCATATTGGCAAGATAATAAATGATTATTCTCATTGCTGCTGAG